AGTGCACTTATACCGGTTGAAACCCTTATGAACAAAACATATTAGACCAGGGGCAGGCAACCTTGGCACTCCAGCTGAGGTGGAGCTACAAGTCATTGCAAGACTCTGACAGTCATAGGCATGACTTGCAGATGCGTGTTGGGATTTGTGGTTTCACCACAGTTTGAGTGCCAAGGTTGCCTACCCCAGTATTAGGCTTTAGTCCCATTCCTTACACCTAAGCCCTGCCCAAATGTCATACCTGTGCCCCATGAGGTCTCTTGTGTTGGCCACTGAAGTGGTCTTATTGAAGAAGATCATTAACAATGTCATGGGGGATTGCTGAAACTTAAAATGAGGGAAGTCCAGCCTGCAAACCAGGGTGGGGGGTCCAAAAGCAAAGGTTAATCTGACTAGATTAAGTATGGAAGCCACCAGTTAAAAATGGTGGACAGGTTCACTTGTACTCTTACATTAGGACAGGAAGATGCAAAGAAGGAATGACAAAGGACTACATGTCCTAACTAAGGTTATTTGGAAGGACTTTCTGTTACCTGGAAAGATGATCAACTCTCTAATGGATCTCACTTGCCGAGTATAATGGCTGCTTCAGTTATATGGAATACTATACGTTAAATCATCACACTGGACTGCAGAAAGTAGTCATTTTTGATCTCTTGACTAAGCCCATTATCATCAGCTCTTACCACCATCTTGTGTGGATTGTAAGTGGTGTCAGAATAACCCGTATAGCCGAATATTTCCCCAAAAGTCCTCTAATGCAAGTCACAACAGATGATTTCCTTACTCGTGTTTTCTTTTTTGGCTACTCGTGAAATTCTACTTCTTTTGCAATTGTGTGTTTTCGAGATTAATGGTCCCATTTTCTCCTTTTCCAGAGCTTTAAACATTAATCACCGACAACACTTTGCTGTTAGCGAGAGAACTAAAAGCCCCGAGTTTACCAAACACAATTTTTCCAGCTTTCAGTTCGCTGCTATGAAAAGCTTGCCGTTACAGCGGCGTGCGTAAATAAAAGTCCAGTTTCTTTGTGTTTTCAGAAGAATTATTTCACTTTATTTACATTTCATTCCATTACTTTTCATGTTAGGTTCTAGTTTTTGTTGCTTACTCGTGCAGGTTTCCGTAATGGTTTTCTGTTTTTCTCGCTTTGCGTTTCAAAGATGAAAGATTTTACTTATTAGGATACGCTTTCCTAATGTTAATTTATTTAAAAAAGCTTTTATATTTATACCCTGATTTTGTGGTACATTGTGGGGGAAATAAAGTTGTAGGCATGCAGGACCTATCAGTCCTGAAACGCTTGGAAATATTCCATATAGTACCTGTAAACATTGGTAATAGCTCGTATTAGCTAATGCTCTTTGGGACCACTCATCCCTTAATTCCTGTTCCACTTATACAGAGCCGCCTTATATCTCGCAGAGAGGCGCTGAGTTTTCTAGGAATTTTTGAAACGTCATATGGCCATCACAGGATAATCATGCAGATAAGCCGTGTTGCAGATCAGCCCTTTCAAAACCAATGCCCATATCAGTATTTTACCTTCTTGGAGTGTTAAAGCAGAACTCTGGGCAAATCAAATCGTAACCCTTGCAGTGGGGCTTCCCCCGAACAGCAAGGGTTAAGTGCTCGTTTTATCTAGGTAACTAAAATAACAAAGTTATACTGACCGGAACTGCGATCCCGGCTTGCTCTAACCCTGCCAGCCGCGCTCCTCCTCTGCTCCAGCGGCCTAAGGTTTTGTGAGTCATCACATCCAATACACTGCATTAGACGTGAGTGCGCCAGGGAACATTACCATCACTGGAGTGGAGGAGGCAGGCTGGAGGGAGCGGTGTAAGAGCAAGCCGTGATTCACGGTTCCGGTTAGTATTACTTTGTTATTTTACCTCCCTAGATAAAACGAGCACTTAACCCTTGCAGTGTGGGGGTAGCCCTACTGCAAGGGTTAAGATTTAATTTGTCCGGAATGTTCCTTTAAATACTTTTTATATGTGGAATATACTTCAGTTGATTAAAGTGTTTCTCTAGCCCCACTTTTTTGGGGGGAGTTTTGAGTAGGGAATGGGCAAATCCCTGTTTTGCCATCTCCTTCCTATTGGAGGGTTTAGCCTTTACTTCCAGTCCGGCAGACACAGCAGGAAAAGAGAAGAAAGTGAAGAGACATCTCACCTTACAATGTTGTCACCAGGACACGTGTCCTCTCCTGGATGATTTCTCTTCACCTTTCCCGTAAGGAGTGTGACAAGGTAACTCTACGTTTAACCCAGTGAAGACACAACAGTCAATATTTGGCAGTAAATTGACGTTTGCTGATTGCACCAGATATTATGATGTGCTGGTGACGTTTCTAATATTTGCAGCACAGTGGAGCACAGTGAATGGTGTCCTGTGCATTGCGCTGGGAATAAAATGCAGACAACAACCTTTTTTTGTGTGCATTGCAGCCTAATCATTTTAAATGGGCTGTCTAGCTTGTCAATGCACAGAAATGCATGCGATACACCATACTGTGTTGTGCTGTGCATGGGCTCTAAGTAATGGAATTCGATTTTACTGTTTGCCTTACTGTTTTCTTAGTCACCACTTTCCAACCAACAATCAGGCAAGAATCTGGCCTGTGGCCCGATTTTAGGACATCCTTCCTATATGTCATTTAGTCAAGTAAGTGGGAACCTTGATTTATAGTAGAGGAGAAATGGACAGAAGGAATGTTTAAAGCTGAACTACAGGAAGATATAAAATACACAAATTGATACATCTTTGTATTTAATAATGCATCATTAAATGTGCTTTTCTATTTAATGCAAGCCTTGGAAGTACCTGAATTTGAACTGCTGACTCTCTCCCCAGCCAACTAACCAATAATGAAAATAGTTGTCAACTATTCTCATAATCGATTAGTTGTTGCAGCTCTACAGTGGAGCGAAGCAGCACAAGGAGTCAGTTGTGCTGCAGAGTTCATGTGCCAGCAAGGAAGGAGCAGAGTGATGGAAGATGAACTCCTCAGTCTGCTGCTTCTCCTTTTTTCACTGTCCAGTCAAAGGCTGCGGGAGGGTCAAGACTTGTAAGTATTACTGAACTGCAGCAGAGAACAATTAAGTTGGTTTGTGCTGCCAGTCAGGGCTATGTGTTGCAGCAGAGTTGTGTAAATTTCAGAACTAGATGGACAGAAATACAAATCCTTTGGAAGGTAAAAATGCTCTCACATATGCATTTCAATTTTGTAATTAGCTGTATGCCTGGAGCTCAGCTGTAAAGGGTCAGTGCAGCTAGAAATGATACTTCATGATACCTGAAGGAGTCCAGTGACGGGATCTCATTGCTTGAGGTCCCAGGTCTTCACCTTTTCCATGGCAATTACAAAATTTCCACTTCATAGTGTCACGGTCTAGGGACCAGGGCACATGAGCTCCTGTGTTTGCGGAGTTGGTAGGAGTCACAAAGAGGCGGGATATCGGGGATGTAGGTCACAGGGAGAGAGGAACATAGCTTTATAATTGATTTTATATTTTGAAAAATCATGCAGGAGCTACATTTTCTCGATTAGAAATGCAAGTTGGGAGCAGACACTGTAAGAAACCTTGGTAGGAGATTTCCCCACCGTCGTCTCAAAGAGTATTAAGAAGCCAGCAGGTGACACAGCCAGCCACACTCCGTCTGTAACTTAAGTATCTCCTTTGGGTAACTTTCTAAGGTTTGTAGCAGAAATCAGGTGGCTCTCATGTAAGAGTTGGTTAAAAAGAAGTAACTTTTTTTGGTAAATAAAGTAATTTGTACATTTGTATCACTAAATGATGATTGAGGAGATGATGTGGCAAAGAATATGGATCTGTGACCTATGTTTTGGTTTTCACTTATTTGCAAATTAATCCCTGTTGTGATTTATACACCGATCAGGTATAACATTATAACCACCCAGCTAATATTGAGTAGGTCCCCCTCTTGCCACCAAAACAGCCCTGACCTGTCAAGGCATGGACTCCACTAGACCTCTGAGGGTATGCTGTGGTATCTGGCACCAAGCCATTTGAGCTACAGTAGTTCTTCTATTGGATTGGGCTACACTGGCCAACCTTTGCTCCCAACATGCATCAATGAGCCTTGGCCACCTATGACCCTGTTGCTGGTGCACTGGTTTTCCTTCTTTGGACCACATTTGGTAGGTCCTGACCACTGCAGACCGGGAACATCCCACAAGAGCTGCAGTTTTAGGCCCCATTCACACCTGACCGTTTTGTAGCGCGTCCTACGCTCGATGAACGCTCTACAAAACGGTCAAAAAAATAAATAGCATTGTAGTCAATGGTATCGTTCCCACCTGTCCGTATTTCCGCCCGTCCCGAACGCACTACAAAACGGCCCACGCATGAAAAGGTCCCGGAGCGTTTTTGCTGCGTATTGGTCCGTTTTGTAGGGCGTTTTCCATTTGTATACTGCCAAGTAGCCTTTGGAATCGCGCGACTTTTTTACCGCGAATCGCGGTAAAAAAACCGCATGACGGACGCGCGACAGACGCGCTTATTACAATACGCATAGGTGTGAATGGGGCCTTAGAGTTGCTCTGACCCAGTCATCTAGACATCACAATTTGGCCCTTGTCAGAGTCGCTAAAATCTTTACACTTGCCCATTTTTTCTGCTTCCAACACATCAACTTCAGGGACAAAATGTTTACTAGCTGCCTTATATATCCCCCCCACTTCCAGGAGCCATTGTAACCAGATTATCAATGTTATTCACTTCACCTCTCAGTGGTCATAATGTTATGGCTGATCGGTTTATATCAACAGTAGAAGCTTATGTCTTTGAGCAGTGTTTGTTCTGTAACCTTTGGCAGCAGAATTGTATCATCAGTATGCATCGATGCCTTCCTTTATATTATAATAAATAGCATAGCCCGGCAGTATGTAAGTGCCACATGCATAGACAAACCAGCTAAGAGAGACACATCTCATACTTTAATAGTATATCCTCATATCATGTTGTTCTCTGCAGGCCTATCTCCACCTGGGTGTGAATGAGAAGTTGGGATTATCTGGAAGACCTAACAGACCCATTGGCTGCCTAGGAACATCAAAGGTCAGTAATAGAAGAAAAAAAAAAGGCTTCTTTACAGGAAGAATTGTAGACATGTGGCATAGACTTCCATAGGTGCTAATTGTAGCCAACTCTGCACTATGAGTGTTTTTAAATGTAAAAAATATAACTGGCTGTTAATATTTATAGGAAATAACAATAGAGATTGAAACAAATTAAGAAGAAAAAAAACAAAACAACACAGATTGTTGATAAAGGAAGTTATCCAATTGCCTTAGAGAGCATCCTTTATCAACTAGGGTTCCTCCTGAGGCTGGTCGGTGTTTCATGAGCAATGGGAAATTAATCTTCTTCCTACACTGACCACCAATACAAGAGGACATATCTACACTGAGCACTAATGTTAGAGAAAACCACAGTTTTTACTGTCTACATTCTCTTTCCATTACTAATATTCATTTAAATTCAGAATTATTATGTAAAATGTTGTACAGAGCAGGCGGGTGTAAAATGATCTGCACAGTTTGTCATATATGATAGATATACCACATTATTTATGTATTATATTTACAACTTTCTACAGTTTTGTGATCACGCTAATTTACGGCAGACTGTAGATATAATTATTCTTAGCAAGGTTTGCTAAACACCCGAAACATATTTTAAGGGTTCCTTTGGGTTAAAAAGGTTGAGAACGGCTGCCTTTGCCTTCCTCAGCTGCAGGTTTAGTGTTCTGAAGAGGCAAGTTTTTTCATTTATTTATTTTCGCCTTTTGGCTGAATTTGAAAGATGTCTTTTTTTTTTTTTAAATATACACTGCCTGTCCCCAAAAAAAGTCACCACCTGGATTTAGCTAAACAAATAATTCAGAGCCTTGCATTGGATAATGTGTTCAGGTTCAGCAATGGTATATGCCCAAAAATGAGGTCAGCTGACTACCTGAATGACCAGGTTTTTCCATCAATGGATGTTTTCTTTCCTGATGGCAAACTGGGTATATTCCAAGATGACAACCCCAGGATTCACCGGGATCAGATGTGAAAGAGTGGTAGAGGGAGCATGAGACATCATTGTCACACATGGATTGGCCACCACAGAGTTCAAACCTTAACCTCATTGAGAATCTTTTGGATGAGAAGACTTTATGCAGTAGTCTGACTCTCCCATCATCACTACCAGGTGAAAAATGAATGCAACTCCAGACAGAAATAAATGTTGTGACATTGCATAAGCTTGTCGAAATGATGCCACGGCTAATGTATGCCGCAATCAAAGCTAAAGGTGGTCCCACGAAATAGAGTGTGTGATATTTTTTTTTTTTTATGTATACAGTGTATATATACACTGAGTGGCCAGGTTATTATGACCACCTGACGTTTGTAGGCAAATTAGCTATAATTAGCTATAATTTGGCGCTGAAGTTGCTAGAGGGCCAGACCATTATAAATAGGGAAGCAGGTTGGTTACCACGACAGTAGAAGTGATTTTTTTCTGAAGATACGGGGAAACAACGCGATGTAACAGTCTTTGAACGTGGGATGATTGTTGGCGCTCGGAGCCATGGAGCGAGTATCAGCAAAACAGCAGAATTCATTAAATGTTCAAGAGCAGCTGTTGTTAAAGAGTTTAAAGACCGGACTGTCAGCCGAAAATCTGGGTCTGAACGTGCGAATTGTGGCCGTCAGCGACTAGTCAATGTTAGGGCAGAACGGAGAGTGGCAAGACTGGTACAAGACAACAGAAGGGCAACAGTGCAGTGTCAGATTCCTCGCATCACCTTTCATCATCTCGTGGAGTCATCTCGTGGCCCAACGAAGTACTGATGGGGTGGTCATGGTCATAATAATCTGGCCACTCAGTGTATATAGAGAGAGGGAGTTGGGGGAGGTATGCTCCTTTCTACAATATCAACCAGGATTTCTTTTCTTTTTCTGCATTATAAACTATATCTGATGAAAGCCTTTGAAAACACAGTATGATTTATATATGATTGGAAAAAAAGAAAAACAATAAATATTGGATAAAAAGTCTTCACATTTTTAGTGGGTTGTGACTGATGGGACCATTGTGAATCTTCTAATGTTAAGAGAGGTTGACCTAAATAGTAGTCTTTGAACTAACCCATCTACCCTAATTGATCTTATCAAGTTTCACTGGACTACCACAAACGAGGAATTAATCAGGCCTTTCCATGCGTTGAGATGTGGATCTATATCAGTAGTTATTAATATCTTTATCCAAGCCAAGTGCTGCTAAGAACAGAAACTACACAACGCCTGCTGTTATCTGTGTTAACCAGACAAACCTCTTCTGTGTGCCCATCTGATTTGGTTTACAGTGCCTATTGGGGCCTGACTTGCATTGGCTGCATGACTTAGTCCAGTGAGACTCAGTGAGCAGTAAGGACGCTTTCTTTAAACACGGTCAGGTCTTTTCTTTTTCTATCTGTGAAGATAGATTTCACTTCCTGATCTGTAAGCTCAACAGGAAGTGAGAGATTACAGTGCTACCTCGGATCACAATTTCAATTCGATCCACGAATCTGGTCACGAACCAAATTTGTTGTGAGCCGAATAAAATTTCCCCATAAGGTGGGCACGTGTGCAGAGGTCTGTCTGCAACCGCGATCTCGGGTAGAGGAAGCCACGACCATGTGTCAGAGCGGGGAAAATGGCTGCGGTCTTGTTCGTCACCCGAGTTGGAGTTCACGATTGGAAGCAGAATTTTGCCAAACTTCCTGTTCGCGAACCGAATAGTTTGCAAACAGTAGCGTTCGTGAACCGAGGTATTACTGTGTATCGGCTCTTAGAGCCCATTGGAAAAATCTCCCCTGTTCTGGTGGCAACTCAAAATTTTGGATTTACCCTTGCATTTATTTACAGTGACATTGGTGATCAGAATCTCAGATTCGGAATTGTTATTATCAGGAATAAAAGCATTTTAAAGAATGTTTTTCGTTTTTGATTAGGAAATTAGGAAATACTGTGTATTAAAATGTCTCCATTTTTAATCCAGGCAGCAGATAAGAGTTTGTTTCTCTTTCACATGTTCAGCTGTTTCATTTTTCAGCCATGTGGAGGGAACCCCCTTGTTTACAAAACCCAAATGAACTTTTTATGAGGGGGTGAGTAGAGATATGGACGGAGGGAGGCCGGTAGATGTGGTATATCTGGATTTCTCAAAGGCTTTTGATACGGTACCACACAAACGCTTGCTACACAAGCTGAGGGCTATGGGCATAGATGAGGTAACGTTAATGATTAATTCCTTATCAGATGGCTAGGGATTAGGTGATTTCAATCAGACAAAGAGAGCTACACAGCAAGTTGCTGTCCTTAGAGAGTGCTTTGTCATTATAATGCTAATGCGTATATATTTCTACTATAATAAACCTGTTCTTAAACCTTTTCCCTTAACCTCAACTCTAAAACAGACCTTTTATCCCATATAAACCCCTAACTGAAAACGTAATATTACTCTTATTGTTTAGCCCTAACTCTTGAAACTAACCTTTATCCTAGAACACCCCCTGAACTCTACGGCCCGGTGGAGACCTGTGCGATCCGGGATCGCGCGGTCCTGTACAATGCAGCCAGTGATTGCCGTGCGGCCCCATTTGATTTCAATAGGGTGGCATCCACGCGGCAAACGCAGAAAAAAGGTACATGTACCTTATTTGGCGATTAAACGCTGTTTTAGTCAGAAACACGGGCAGAATCGCGGCGGGAAACTGAGCGATCCGGCCGGCGCGACATTAGAAAATAATGGAACCCACAGCGCGATCAGTCCACACCTTGGCAACTCCTGACCACGTGGCAATCGTGCATGATTAGGTGTCGCCTAGGTGTCACGTAGGTGTTGCCTAGGTGTCGCCTAGGTGTCGCCTAGGTGTCGCCTAGGTGTCACGTAGGTGTCGCCTAGGTGTGCACCGGCTTTAACCCTCATCATAAACCCTAACACCAACTGAGCCCCTAAAGATTTGTGCTTACTTTATCAGGGACCAAATGACGGCAAAACCCCATAGCATCAAGCTGAAGTTGTTTATATGTGATGCATGTGCTGAGCTCCTAATTTTACTTCCTCAGATTTATCGTATTCTCGGGAAGACGGTGGTGTGTTACCCTATTGTGTTTGATCTGAGCGATTTCTACATGTCCCAAGATGTCATGTTACTGATTGATGACATTCAGGTAAATGTACACTTCATGTTCTATACATGGGTCCTACTGAATATAATATAGGGAAGATTGTAGATGCGTAAACCATATGTTATATAACCCTGCATAGAGAAATGGTTACCATTATCTTGTAGCAACCAGCAAGGTGTTCACCTTTTATTACTGTAATGTAGCCAGAGCAGAGAAATGTACCTATGGGTTTTTACTCTTTGTATTTTTTCGCTGTCTTATTAAAGGCCAACCCCATGGCAGTTACTTAATTTAGGTCTTGTATGGTTTATAGCAAGCTAACCCACATACCAGCTTCTTTATCTTAAGCTCCAATGGTAAGATCTCTCGAGTAGATTGCCCTGTTGCTCCCAGCTGTAGTAGGCAATACACGGTCCTATGATGCCATTGCGCCCACCTAATGGATTCCGATCTCATTCTTTTAAACACTCCCTCTGCCCTCCCAAGGGTGGGGATAGATAGCCATGCCTCCTTGCTGTTTGACTTTGTAGAAACTAATTTTCCCCTGTAGAAATGTATTTATTTCAATGTGACTGGATGCTTTAAAGGAGAATTATAGGGAGAGTGAAATACACTCATCCCCATAATTAGAGCTGACATGTGACACTGTGGGTGTCGCACGCCGTTTCTATAGATCAAGAACTGATCGTTCACATACCGCTGATCGCTCATCTCATGATCTTCTCCCTGCAGAGAGCAGGACTGTCAATCACCACTCCACACAGGGATTTCCCCCTTCTAGCGCTGACTGGAGGGACAGACAGGGGAGAGGGAAGGCAATTGGGCAGCGGGGTGGATCCCGTCAACATTGTCTGTTTTTTTTCCCGGCTGCAGTGCCACTCTGCGCTGCCAGCATATAGCGGGCAATAGCTATAGCGGGCAGTTTTGGGTCACAGGAGGACATAGTAAATGTCCTCCTGTGACCCTAAAGAGAACTATGAAAAAAACGGTTGGGGCACAGTTCTCTATTAAGGCAACTTAAACTGACTGGGACAGTTCTTCCCTCACGTTCCTGAATAAATAAGTCCTATCTTTAATAATACAACACTAAGAGTAACCATAGCTGTTAGAGAAGGGTAAAGACTGGGCTTTCTGACCCAATTGGGACTTGACCTTCGGCTGCCGGTTGCCCATTGGCCATTTCTGTTCCGTACGGTTTGCAGTCCGTTTGTCAAACGTGGATCCTTCATGGAACAAAGAAGACTCCCGTTATAACCAAAGAGGCATCAATGTGATGACTAGCTATCCTTACCTGGACATGTTTATTCAATACGATATCCAAGCAAACAATTTGGTAGAAACATTGGACCAATCACAGTTATCAGAAGATTAGATTTTAAGTAACCATTGTTTCCCCCCTATTGTTTTTGGGCAGTAAGGAGGAGATGATGGGTCTTGTAGTTCTTACGTATTTCCTTGAGAATGCTTTTGACCGGTTACTGGTCTCTTTCCACAGAACGCTCTACAGTTTATCCGGCAGTATTGGAAGATGAAAGGACGTCCCTTGTTTCTGGTGCTGATCCGTGAGGACAACATCAGGTACAGTATAGTGGTTTCGTCAGTTAGCTCTACATTGACTCAAAGACTGAATTACAATAACTTTCCATGTTCTTTTTTCGTCCAACAGGGGGAGCCGATTTAACCCCATCCTGGACATGCTTGCCTCTTTTAAGAATGGGAATGTGGCAGGCGTCAAGGTCCATGTGGACAGACTGCAGGTGAGCTGATGTTCTGATAACATCTAAAAGGCACGTTCCCTTAACTTTGAAGAGATTTCCTCTCACTCCTGTTTTAAAATAATGGGAGTTCTAATGTTTCTCTAATGAATCCTCTCTTTTCAAGTGAAATTAAGTCCTTTTCAAGTGCTGGATCAAAACATCTGTGCTGCAGAAAGATATTTTGCAGCTAGTACCCGCCACCCAAAATGAAGCCAGCAGCTTTGGGAGGATGCATGGGCGTTGTGCACCTCTGGTTGTGTACTGGCGGCTCGCAGTTATTTTATACGGATGACATGAATCCATTTTCTGGTTACTTAACGCCATCGAGCCCGCATTGCAAACTGCACTGGGACTTTCCATCTGAACTGTTTTCCATTCACTGCTTGAATAATTAACAAGTATTTTCAGATTACGTCTTATCTCCGGGTTTTTATATCTGTTCTCTTATTTAGAGAGCCCGAGGACGGCCAAGCCTCTTCTGTTCTCCCCTGTATCACTTCCGTGACAGTTTGTTTTGACACCTTCTGCCCGATAAAATCAGAGAAACACAGTAATTAACCTTTATCAACCAAGTGATGCTCGTTGGCTTGTGGTGACACGTTCCAGGGAATAAATTAGGGCGATGAAAATGTATGTTACTGAAGACAAATAATTTATTTTATATTAGAACTAGAAACAGTTATAATACAGACAACCTATAGAGTCTAAATGTGACTTTTATAGGATCGGAGAGTTTCTAAAACAGAGCGGTGTGTGGGCGGAGACAGCCCACGTTGTCACAGGAGGCTGGGCTCTCCTCTCTGCTCGCTTAGCCTCCTGTGATAGCTGTCAGGATGGAGAGCGGGTACAAACATTCTGATCAGTGATCACTGTGTAGATAATTGAGGACATAGCATGTTGATTATATCCTTAAAGGAAAACTATGGGGTCAGGGCTTTTCCCCATAGTTCTCACTAAAGGTAACGGGAGGACACAAACTAGCGTCCTCCCGTTACCCTAAGCTCAGTATACCGCAAGCTACAGCTAATGAATGGGAAGTGATCTACATCACATCCTGTTCATTCATGATTGTGGTTATAGTAACCATACTCTGTCCTCATGTTTTGAATGTACAGGAAGACTCGGTATAGAGGATTCCTGTTCATTTATAAAAGGGGCTGCAGAAAAAGAGATTGAGGATTCAATCTCTTTTTCTATTTTAAAGGGGAAATATCAGGGGTCTCTTTATACCACTAATATTTCCCTGAAGCCCCCCCTAAAAGTAAAAAAATTAAAAAGTTTATAAAAAATAAATAAAAATAAAATATTTTTTAAAAATGTGAAAAAAATAAAAAACAGTTTTGGTTTCGGCCTGACATTTTTATTTTTTTTATTTCGGTTTTGAAATTTCCATGTCGCTGCACCTCTACTTGAAATGGTCACAATGCTCCTGGTAGCCGGAGACCATGTGATCTGTACTGTGGGTCACAAGTATTTCTTTATATGCAAAGCAAGATGGAGGTACTTTTTTTTTTTTTTTACTCAGAATAGAAAAAAGGGATTTTGTTCTGCCTTGTAGATTCACGAGAAGTCTGAATTTTAATGACAGGTTTGCGTTTAATCACGACCCGACAATAGGATTTTGTACCTGCAAAGCTAATTAGCGGATATTTTAATGAGGATTTCCAGCTAGTGGGCAAATGTTTCACGGAAAACCCGTTTCGTCGGCGCTGCGTCTCCCAGAACTTCCACCTGCAGCAGCGCTCGAGGCGTTCCAGCTCGGAGCTATGATTGCTTCGTGATATCAATTATTAAGCATCCATCTTTTTTTTCTTTCTCTTATAATGGATTTCTCATGTAAATGGAAGACGCTCAATTTCCCAAAAGGTGCAGGAGCGGAGAAAACAAAGCTGGGATCCGTTCCCGTAGCCGATTTTATGACTGGATTTTGTGCTCGGCGCCGCCCTCCTGCTCCACTTAAATTAATGGCAGAGTTTAAAGAAAGTAGAGCGAACCATTAAAATAATTGAACATTTTTAAAACTCACTTCAGAGGCGTCCAATTTTGTGATTTACCTTGGTGCGTTCTGAAGTTGTGCCAGTTAATTTGGTGTCGGCTTTTAGAGGAAAGATTGCAAAAATGCTTTTTCCGGCTGCACGGCTGCATAAAATTGTGAGCGGGTGACAAGGCCGGGCTCGAAATGGTGGACGTTAGATAAAATGAATGGCATTTCAGAGACGTCACAAGCAAATGTGAGATGTACAAATGGTTTCTGCGGCTGAGAAATATTTTGACTAGGATTGACAAAGGAAGAAAAATGAATATACACTGAGCCTCTTTGTTTTTTAAAGTATATCTAAGCCTAAGAACCAAAATGGAATATATTGTAGCTTACCAGTCCTTAGATGAGGTGGCTGCATTCGTTTTCCTGTCCTAGGGTGACACTCACTCACTGCATTGTATTGTTGGAGAAGCAGTGTTGTCAGCTTAAAGGGGTGTCAAACGCTAATACTTTTTATTGAATAATGAATTCAGATCAAACACATACATTGCCCAGCAATTTGTTTTATATGTTTACCCCAAGCACTTACAGTCATCATGTTTCCTAACAGCTCCAACTCTTTCAGTTCCACTTCCCTGAACTTCCTGTCCAGTATAAGATCTCAAGGGACAGACCAGTCGCCAGCTGCTGTCCATTTTCTAGCTTTTATAGCTAGTCCTCCTCCCTCCTTCCGTCCCTCTCTCTCTCTCCCTCCCTCCCTCTCTCACTCCCTCCCTCCTTCTCTCCCTCTCTCCCCCCTTTATCTTTCCCTCCACCCTCTATCTTTCCCTCCACCCTCTATTTCCCTCTCTCTCCCCCCCTATCTCTCCCTCTCATTCCCCCTCCCCCCCCTTCTCTCTCTCTCCCTCCCATTTTTTTTAAATAAAACTATTTTAAAATGTATACACTTTAAAAAAAAAAATCAAACATTCAAAAATAAAACTGAACACCATTATAGTTTCCCTATGAAGTCCAGGGGGTGTTTTTCTTTTCTTTCTTCAAATTAACCCTTGAAGTCGGGATTCCCCAAACATCCCTCTCTACTGCAAGGGTTAACTGCTCGTTTTGGTCTAGCCAAAATGAAAAAGATTTACTTGGTCCATGGTCCTACAGCAGCCAGCGCTCACCTCTTTCCTCCTCCGCTCTGCCTGTGGTATATCTCTCAGCGTCTTCATGTTTAATGGACCCTGTATTAGACTTGATGATGTCACGGATCCTTAGACTGCCGAGGGGAGAAGAGGCTGCAAGGATTGATCTAGCAGCCAGGAGGTGAGTATCTTTTCTTTCCCTAGATCAAAACGAGCTCTTAACCCTTGCAGTGCGGGGTTAGACCTACTGCATGGGGTTCATTTTAATAAATAGCGGCTTTCTTCTTTAACTCTAAAGCCAGCCCTTTATCTTAAAGGAACCCTATACATTGTTATTAGGGCTGTTACTGATTAAAATGTTCGTGTTCGATTAATCGAAATTCTTTTAATCGATTCATTTCGATTAATTATAACGCACATACAGACCCAACTACATTGGCCTATACACATACAGCACAGCAATGAAGTAATAAAATGAACTAGGATCACACTAATCCAGCACGTTATTAATCTCACGTGCCCCACTCAATATGGCCGCCGCTTGACTGGGGCAACTCAGAATAATAACGTGCTGGATTAGTGCGATCCTAGTTCATTTTATTACTTCATTGCTGTGCTGTATGTGTATAGGCCAATGTTTTGGCTGGCGCTCGTGCAGAAAGTTTTTTAAAAAATGTAATCGATCAAAAAAATTTTAATCGATCAAAAAGATTAATGATTAATCGAGAAATTAATCGTTAATTTGCACAGCCCTAATTGATATGCATTAAAAGTTCAAATATAAAACACTGAATGTGCATGTGTGTATGCATTGCACAAAGAGCCAGTAACAGCTAGGTTTGTGTAACATTCGGAACGTTCAGTCTTATTATTATTTTGTTATTGGGACATTTGAATTATAAGTCGGCTTCCATTTTGTTCTTTGGACGGTCCCTCTCCTTCCTAGTCCAGGTAAAGGTTTGAATGTTTGGGGCCTCCGGTACGTTCCTCACAAACTGACGTCCTACATTGGCAGCCCGCAGAACGCCTTCTTCCATCTGCGTTGCTGGTGGGCCCCTCCACCTGTGGTGCTGTAATTCCTGCCTGCAGAAGAGCTGAATATTATGAGAATCTGGAAGGAAGGAAGGAAAACGATGATTCCTTATGGCAGACACACATGCAGGTCATCCACTCTCTGATCAGAATCCCATTTAACAAAAGCCCCGCAAAGCCCCTGATCTCAGCGAGGCTCTTCGGAGACGCTTGTTGTTTGAACAGCTTGCAGGTTTCCGGATTTCATGGTATAGTCGGCGGGTTTTACTGGCTGTGTTTCTCGTCTTGCAGACTCTTATATCTGGAGCCATGGTCGAGCAGCTGGACTTTCTGAGAATCAATGAAACAGAAGAGTAAGTAACACCTTCCATTTCTCTTCCCCCCGCCAAGCACCTTTAGGAAGGGCTTATGGGCCTTCGAAAAGCGACAGCCAAGTGTAAATCATCTGGAAGTCCATTATCATTCACATTTCAAAGAGAACTCTGACAAAAAAAATATAAAGTTGAGTTATGAACGGTTTGAACGGTTTGAGTGGTTTGTGTTTTGTACGCTCTGATCACATTTTTGGTATACGACTCCACTAAGGTCCCTTTCACACGAGCGCATATCAGTTTTGATCAGCAAGTTATTTGTACGCGGATCTCCTGCCAATCAGAACCGTTTGGTACGGATGTCATCGTTGTGACATCTGTGTCTGTCCAGTTTTTTCCTCCATCTTTCGATGCAGGGAAAAATTTTAAATACTGGACCCATGTTAGGTCTTTGGGGAGTCGGACTTATTTGAACATGTGTCTGTTGACATCAGACTACCCCCAATCCCTCACGATCAGGTCCCCCGAAACAGATCTTTGTTCCGTTTGGTTTTCCAGACCTGACTGGAGTTGGGGGGAATCGGTTGTAAACATATGCACATCTGTTTAGGTTCAGCTGCCCATAGACTGCCTGAAAAACTGACAGGTGGACCTGATCGGACTGCCAGAATCTAAGGAGCCCAAGGTGCTGTGGCTAGTTCACGCCATAACACGTCATATCTCATGTTATAATGTGTGTGACTGCAATACTTGATAAGGCACTGTAGGTGTGCCCTAATGCACGTCTAGTGTCTGCTGCAACGCTGCGCTAAAATATATTGCCCTGGACCTGTTTTCTCATGCGTTGAGGTGCATGGACAGCGCAAGTATTCTGAATGGGCTTTTTGACTTAACACACCTCGGTGCATGAAAATGTACCGGTATGTGATGCATATTAATGTAATGTAAGAGTTGCATATTAATTTAATATAAGAAAGCAATCTATGAACTTGTGAACAGCTGTCATTTATAGGTTTATTGTGATCCAGCATCCCTTCTACAATTAAAATATTCACACTAATCAGACATTATTATTGCAACCATCAGGTGACAGTCTTCAGATAACAACAGCAGCTTTCTGATGGCTGGTTCAGAGACCAACAGAGCAGGGAGAACAGAACACACAGACTGCAGATCTGCCCTGTGATGGCTGGTGATCTGATGACTGGTTCCCTGATGACTGGTGATCCGATGAATGGTCCTCTTGTAATCTGATGACTGGTCCTCTGGTGATCTGATGACCGGTCCTCTGATCGGTCCTCTGGTGATCTGCTGACCGGTCCTCTGGTGATCTGCTGACCGGTCCTCTTGTAATCTGATGACTGGTCCTCACCGGTGATCTGATGACCGGTGATCTGATGACCGGTGATCTGATGAGTGGTTGATGTAAATTATATATGCAATTCTGCTGTGCATTTAGCAGTTTGCGCTGAGCTTCACCTGAAAACCATTGTCACTCTTACTGAAATATAACTGTTTTCTGCTTAGGATGCCGGAGTTCAAAAGCTTTGAAGAGCTTGAAGTGCCTAAACATTCGAAGGTGAACAGACAGTCCAGCATACCGAGCGCTGACATGGAAAAACAGCCAGAGATCAGCGTCGCAGAATGGAAACACCGGCCCACCTATGAGATCCTGCAGAAGCTCAGTGTAAGTTGTTTCCTGGATCCAGAGAGCACACAGCTGGACCTGCTGCTTATATAAGGTCCTAGGCCCAGTATACACATAATCTGTGGACTGAGATGACGATTGCCTGTTCGTTGGCATAAGTGACTCTTCTGGTAACCCCAAAGGAAACATATTTAGCTGGCCCTTAGTAAACCTATATGCCGTGTTTTCTTAGGCCAGTACAACCCAACCGCATATATGTTTTGTGTGGTTCCAGGCAATGAGAACCTTATCATATTTCTCATGGATTCCAATGCTGACCATCCTTCACTAAAAACCGTACCTGAGATATTTCTACATTTACTGTGAAAATGGCTCCATCTAAGTGTTTTGTGTTACGGCCATTTTAAGCCAAAGCAGCCTGCGGTTGTTCAGTAACAAACCTGAAAACGACAGCAGCACTTAAAGCTGAACACCGGGCACAAAACCTTTCATTTTAATATTTTCCTAAATATCCAGAAACTATATGAATCCACTTTCTACGCACCAAATGCCTTTGAAACCAAGTTATTACTGTGCAAATATTGCAGTGACATCATCACTGTGCTGCAGAGAGCTGTGCTGTGGGAAGGGGCCCAGCAGGCTCCATCCACTACAGGCTGCATACAGAAAAGGACAGGAGGGATGACTGTCTTTTATGAGGTGTTGCACTCTACAGGGCTGCAAAGTCATATTTAGACATGCTGCACAACATCAAGAACAGGGAAGTGGAGGCAAGAGAGAAATGTCTCTGGTGCCCAGAGCAGCCAATCAGATCCCAGCTGACATTTTTCAACAATATAAGATAAAAACAAGTAATGGATTAGATGGTCACCTCCGTTTTTTATACACCGTCCCTTACATGTTCCTCACTCTTAATGTCCTCTTCTCTCTTTTTCCTAGGACTGCACCTGTTTGGCTTCCCAGGCCATCCTACTCAGCATCCTGATAAAACGGGAAGGGCCGCATTTCATTACAAAAGATGGTGAGTGTCCTTTTTGTCTAAAATGACCCATAAACTCCTTAATTTTTTATGTGTTCCTTATATCGGGCAAAAAAATATGGCCTGTTTTTAAAGCCTCGCTCCAGCCAACACTTATATTTTCTGCTTTGGATTGAGTAAGGAAGAATCATACATTTTTGTTAGGTTTTCATTTCTTTCTATGACCCCATTGGGCCTTGGTTCTCAACTGGGTGGGTCAAAAGTGGGTCACAACCCTGTGTGTTCAGTGGGTCGCTGTGTGCCTTCCACTGCACTAGGTGAGATGCTTCTCAGCTTCCCCCCTAGCGCAGCACTGTCAGTTCTTGTGCCAAGCAGTCTTTTAAAATATATTGCCCGGCGCTGAGTGTCAGCTTGAGGTGGGGTGTGGGTACGGCTGCGAGGGAGCTCAATCCATATGTGCATTGCTTACTGCTCCTGTAGAGGTGCCTGGACCAGAGTGATGTCACATTCTGGTTCCCACCACCTCTACAGGGCACGCAAGGGAGCTGTAAAAGCAATGCACATATGGATGGAGCTCCTTCACAGCACAGCAGCCCACACTGGACCCCAGGGTTAGAAACCACTCCAGTTCTCGTAAGGTAGGAAGACAGGGTGGATCTTAAAAAAAATAGATTTTTTTTTCGGGTGTGTACAGCCATGGCCAAAAATATTGGCACCCCTGCATTTCTGTTAGATAATGCACCACTTCGCGCAGCAAATTGTTGCAATTACAAATGTTTAGGTGCCAATATTTTTGGCCATGACAGTATGTGTGTGTGAGATTGTGTCTGTAGTTGTGTGTGTCTGTCAGTGTTTTTGAGGACCCATTCAAACTAGTATTAACGCATCGTACCACACAATCGCACCTACCACGCGTTCTGGTTCGGGAGGTACGTTGTGTTGCCATTCGTTTGAATGGCACCCCAAACGCGCAGTTCGATTGCCCACACCGGAAATGCTCGGTACCGCATTGCCGCTCATTCCAGTGCAGTGCAACCTAATGACCAAGGAAAATTGTGGGTCCTGAGGTTACACAGGTTGAGAACCACTGCCATTGGGGAGACTTTCTCTCACTTGCTGTCCCTGTGACTCTCTGGCAAGAAATGGTGGGAACAGTTGTCCCTCTTAATGGCATGGAGACCCAGGAACTCTGATATGTTACCAATAGAGTCCTTTAGAGATGGAAGAAAGAGTCAGGTGGATTAACTCTCCAGGATCCACCGAAAGCAGAAATATAGGCTTTGCGTGTACTGACCCTCTAAAGCTTTGCCACACACCTTACAATTATCTGCAGATTTTCTGTGGTCAGATGGAAATGGTGGAACAGATTCCTCCATCTACACTTAACTGTGTGGGTGGAATAATCTCCACCTGGGCCAATCTGTTGCACTTTTTCCATCTGACCACAGAAAATCTGCAGATAATTGTAAGGTGTATGGGCACCTTTAGACAGGGCTATGCAAACTCTGGTCCTCCAGCTGAGGTGCAACTACAAACCCCATTAGGGATTGCAAGACTCTAAGGCCTCATTCAAACGAGAACAGCTTCGTACTGCATGCACGGCTGTATCGGGCAGCTCCCGGGAAGAACAGGTGCTGCGTGTGATTAGTACGCAGCCCCTGTCCGTCTCTATGGGAGTATGCGGCTGTACGCCGCCCTACGCTCACCCGCCCTGCACCTCCGTGCGGGTGAGCGTACTCGTGTGCTGACAAGATGGATCCGGTCTGCGTCCGAGCCCCGACACCCGCACCCGTACGGACCTGCACTTGTGAGCGTGGGGGGGGCGTACGGCCGCATACTCCCATAGAGAAGGACAGGGGCTGCGTACTAATCAGAAATCAAGTGTTCTTGCTGCACTCCTTACCGGAGTCAAAAAAGACCCGTGTGAACGGGTGGGTGCTTGTAGTGGCCACGGATGGCACCGTGAAGAGATACGATAGAAAATAGCGTCACCAGCACTCCAAGGGTTAATGAAGCAAAAGTCAATTTATGAGCACATTGCCATTCAACTGCAAGCACTTTCGGGGCCTCGGAGGGTCCTCTTCATCAGGCTCAGAATGACAGCGTACTAATCACACGCAGCACCTGTCGTTCCCGGCAGCTCCCCGATACGGCCGTGCACGCAGCACGGAGCTGTAGGTGCCGGCCGATTCTTGTGTGAATGAGGCCTTACAGCCACAGGCATGACTCCTTCAGTCAGATGCATGGTGGGATTCGTAGTTTCATCACAGCTGAAGGGCCGGAGTTTGCTTGCCTCTGATTTAAGAGATTGTCTGTTGCACACCTGAACGTATCAGCTGCGTGCGTTCCTATGTCTGTGCCACTTTAACACGTTGCAGTCTGGGAAAATGAAGGGTTAAATCGTCAATTACACGGATCAGGAAGCACCTGTTCCTGACTTGGCTTTTTAATCTCCCGTTACTAGCGTCGGAGCAATTAAACAGCGAAAGAAAATATAAGATTCCTCCGAGCACATTTAATTGTAAAGAGCAAAGTCTGCTTTGGCTAATTAAAAGCGGTTGAATATGTCTGTGTTTTGTTCTAATCTAGCCAATTCCTCTTCAGGGATGACCCAAATCGGGGAAATTATAAGTTAATAATGAGAAAGACTTAAAATAGCCTGAGGGACGTTCGCCATCACGGGGAGATTTCCTCCAAACTCCTCCCTTCCTTCCCGATTAACCCAATACCTCCTTAATGTTTTTCTGTGCCTCCAGCTATGTGTATCGGCAACCCTGTGTAAGGAGTCCGAGCTAATCTAACATGGACTCCAGGCAAAAGATAATTATCCAGATGAGATACATAGAGGAGAGTTGCCGTTCCCACCAAAGCATTTGTATTACTGTCCATGCAGTCCTTGGATTTACACAGCACAGCCCTGTCTGGCCCATTACAGAGGAATTGACCACCTCCAGGTATACTTGCACTCAATTCATCCTTTGCTATATATGCTCCAAGATGATCACTCTCATAGATTAGCGTTAGGACCGCACTATACAGAGGGGCCTTGACAGGACAGTGTGGCTTCCACATATTTTGCAACGGTTGTGCAACTAAAACCTCTGTTTTTAACCCTAAAAGTTAGACAGGGTCAATTTTTTTTCCTGGGAAATGTGTGTGTTTGTACTGTCTGGCAACACGAGAAATGTTTTTTTTTCCTCTACTGCAGTTCAGTAATGGTTATAGATATTGTCCTTCCCTCTGGACTGGACAGTGAAAGGAGAAGCAAAAGACTGATGAACTAGTCTCTCTGTCACTCTGGTCTCTCCATTTATCAGCATGATTCTTGTCCTTCCCCCAGCCTGTGACTGGACAGTGAATGGAGAAGATCTTGTCCCTCCTCCAGCCTGTGACTGGACCAGTGAATGAGAAGATCTTGTTCAGCCTGTGACTGGACAGTGAAAGGAGAAGATCTTGTTCCTCCCCCAGCCTGTGACTGGACAGTGAAAGGAGAAGATGTAGTTCCTCCCTCAGCCTGTGACTGGACAGTGAATGGAGAACATCTTGTCCCTCCCCCAGCCTGTGACTGGACAGTGAATAGGATAGATCTTGTTCCTCCCCCAGCCTGTGACTGGACAGTGAATGGAGAAGATCTTGTTCCTCTCGCAGCCAGTGAGTGGACAGTGAATAGAGAAGATCTTGTTCCTTCCCCAGCCTGTGACTGGACAGTGAATAGGATAGATCTTGTTCCTCCCCCAGCCTGTGACTGGACAGTGAATGGACAAGATCTTGTTCCTCTCGCAGCCTGTGACTGGACAGTGAATGGAGAAGATCTTGTTCCTCTCGCAGCCTGTGAGTGGACAGTGAATAGAGAAGATCTTGTTCCTTCCCCAGCCTGTGACTGGACAGTGAATGGAGAAGATCTTGTTCCTCTCGGAGCCTGTGACTGGACAGTGAATAGAGAAGATCTTGTTCCTCTCGCAGCCTGTGACTGGACAGTGAATAGAGAAGATCTTGTTCCTCTCGCAGCCTGTGACTGGACAGTGAATGGAGAAGATCTTGTTCCTCCCCCAGCCTGTGACTGGACAGTGAAAGGAGAAGTTCTTGTTCCTCCCTCAGCCTGTGACTGGACAGTGAATAGGGAAGATCGTGTTCCTCCCCCAGCCTGTGACTGGACAGTGAATAGGGAAGATCGTGTTCCTCCCCCAGCCTGTGACTGGACAGTGAAAGGAGAAGCAGCAGACTGATGAGCTCATCTCTATGTCACTGCTGCTCGGTCCTCCTATCAGCATGTTCCTTGTTAGCACATGATCACTACCGCACGACTTATTGGCTCCTTGTGCTTCTTCTTCCTCTCCCAGTGTCAGCTCTGCTGTATAGGGACTGAAAGGAACAGGACTTGGAAATGTAACTGAACTACAGTAGAATGAAATCAGGTCTCCCGTCCTGACACACAGGGCTGAGCTTTGTGGCAGAGCTGTGTGAACCTCAGGATTGGGTGGACAGAAATACAAATGCATTGGCATCCACTCTCATATATGTATTTTATCTTGTTCATTCACTCTTGCTCCAGTTAGATTAGCCAGCAATTTTTTCACGCAGGGTCACCGATATACATCGCTGGAGGCGTAGGAAAACTTCCCGGGCGAATTGGGTTAATCAGGAAGGCATTTGGAAGAAATTTCTCTGTGATGGCGAAGGGTCCTTCAGGCTATTTTATATTTATCTCATTATTGACTTATAATTTTCGCGATTTGGGTCATGGCAGTGTGGTGGAAGTTTGCCGGAGAGAGAAATAGGGTAAATTTTATATCTTATTCCCCTACTGCTAGTATTTAACCCTTGCCGTGTGTGTGTGTGGGGGGGGGGGGAGGGCACTGCAAGGGTGCTTTTTTCTGGTGCCCTGAGCGGAGCTTTAATGTAGGTGGCAGCAATGTGCAGTAAAGCACACATTTAGCATGCATTACCGCAGCGGGCTGATGTTAAGGGGCCCTAAGGTGGAATTTATAAGGATGAAGGAAACCTGAACCTGGAGAGATATGGAGGCTGCCATTATTGGTCACTGATTGTAGAGTAATCACCAGTTACCTGGCTGTCGTGACGATGCCTTGCTACTAATACTTAGAGTCCGTGAACTGAATAATGTATGCACATCAGCAGGGCTGGAGCTAACGATTATTTTCAGAATCGATTAGTTGCCTGCTTATTTTTTTGATTAACCGATTAGTTGCATTAAAAAATATCTCTCCTCTCTCCCTCCCCCCCTCCCTCATTCGCCTTGACATTACTGGCTTCATGCTTGTTCTGATTTGCAAAGTCTTAAAATCCGTGAGGCCAGGCAACTAGCATTTTCAGACGTCCCGCAGTGGCAGCCTACACAGTCCCACAATCCCAAGACAATACCGCTTACAAAATTGAGGTGCAGCTAGACGCCGTCCCTTTCCATGCCATGCCTTCCAGTCTCTGGCGGCACAGATTATTCTGTCAGCGTTATTAAGCAGAACATTGCCGCGACTTTTGTCATTTGTAAGCGTTGTAATAAATATTCCAGCATAGTCTCGGGCCCCGGGGGCTCCTCGCGATTAAACTTTCATGAGAGCAGACAAGGCGGCGGTCCCATTTGAACCATATTACACACTGCCTGTTGCAATCGTATTAGAGCTCTCCTGTACTCCGCCTCTGCTGCGGATGGTGAAATAACGTCTCGTGTGTCTAGAATGAAAGCACTCAGCTCTGTGACTCCTTCTTCATCGTAGGTACCATCTCAGACTTCATGGAGCGGATCTACAGGAAGGCCGGGACCAATAAACTTTGGTAAGTCCGTCCTGTATCAGCACATACATGAACTTTTAGGTGGGTGGGGTGGCCATATGGAAGATCTGAAAGGAATAGCGGGAAGTATTATATAAAGAACCAAACCGTTTATCTATTATTGAGTATTTATTGACTATTTATGTATCTACATGCTACCTACCATAATACTGTTATAGTATATTATACATGAGTACATTTTACTTTGTAATTATAAGACTCAAAAAGTATTTGAGGACCAGTCTTAGCTTGACGTGTGCAGGAAATAGAGCATTCAGTTTATAATGAATATACTCACGCAGGCTTACTTTGATTCATTTTTGACCCCTTATCTAGTGTTCTTGCTATGCCTGAATCTAACTCTTCAGCTTCATTGTCAGAGATGATCTAAAGGAGGGTTAGCCAGACTCGGGCCCTCCAGCTGTGGTGGAACTACAAATCCCAATCCCATGAGGCATTGCAAGATTCTCACAGCTACAGACATGAGTCCCGGAGAGTGATGCATCATGGGATTTGTAGTTTCACCACAGCTGGAGGGCCGGAGTTTAGCTGCCCCTGATCTAAAGTCTTAACATTGCTTCCCTGCCAACTGCCTGACCTTACACACCGTCTTCCAGCTTCTGAGTGTGCGTAACGCTCAAACAGCAGAGTCACCTAGTTGTAACGCTAGCTAAGCTGGACAGATATCACTATTTGATAAGAAAGTCGGCACAATTCTATTAATTAGAAACAAAATATTAAGATTCCTAAATAAGCATAGATGCTTGCATTTTATTAATAATTTCATATTTCAAATTAGGGATGCAACGATAGCAGTATCAGTATCGGTGCCGATACCGAGTATTTGGGCGCCTACTCCCGATGCTTATTCTGATATCGGAACTTACGGTATCAGGAAGCCGGGCGGTGAGTCATTACACACCTGATTGGCCGGGAAGCCTGCTCCTTGCTCTCTGTTGACGAGGGAGCATGGAGCCGGATTCCCAGCCAATCAGGAAGCTGTGGGGCGGGTAACGATTCGCCCCCCCTGGCTCACTGATTGGCCGTGAAGCTGGCTCCCTTGTCACTTGGTGATAAGAGAAAGCATAGAGCCGGCTTCCCGGGCCCATTAGGAAACCGGACGGCTTGTAATGACTCACCGCCCGGCTTCCTGATTGGTCGGGAAGCCGGGTGGCGAGTCATTACCCGCCCTCCAGGTTCTTGATTGGCCAGAAAGCCAGCTCCATGCTTCCTCGTCAACTAGTGACGAGGGAGCATGGAGTCGGCTAATCAGGAAGTCAGGTGGTGAGTCATTAGACGTCGCCCGGCTTCCTTAACGTGACTTCCAGTATCGCCCCCTTCAGAAAACTGATTAACATGCCTGTGTGTGTTGCAGCCCTGCCCACTCTGGCTCCTTGAAGTTTTCAAAAGAGTCCCATAGATCCCCTTACAGGCCTGGGGCGTCCATTCATCCAGATCCAGGCACTACACCAGTCAGATTTTAGCTATTGCTGATTGATTGATATGAACGACATGGATGCTGTTGATCCCTCTAGTTCATATAAATTAGCCCCAGCGAGCTGCAGTAAGTGTTTCGCCTTGTTGAATTTTATCCCCTTTAGGTGTTCGGCAGCTGATGAGCCAGAAGCTCCACCATGGCCTTGTCATTTTCAGAGTCCATTCACACCCATGCACTTACATCAGCTGTTACTTTGCTGGGGCAAGCTCCTAGCCCACAGTATCTTTTTAGCACATTGTGAGGAGTGCTCATGACTCTAACGTGTCAGTAAGCAGATAAGCGTGAACAGACCCCATGACACTCCAATGCGACAGGTCGCAGGATTTCTTCCTTCTTACCCTGAGTAACAGACATTGAGTACATTAGGACTTTGCAACACTTAAATGAGCATATTCCTCTAAGACCGTCAGTTGTTTATCGTTGGACTTCTCGTGCTCTTTGCTGCCACGTCTTCTTATATTTCACAGGAAGCAATTCCATTACCAATGTGTTATCAACATTAACATGTTTTTGGGTTCATTAAATTATTTTCCAGCCATTTAATAGCCTCACTGATAATCAAGTCGTTTGCTAATATAGGGCCATGTGTGACCTGAAAGGAATGCGTAGCTTGCCGCTGCTGCTGACCTCTACTTGTGCTAGTTGTCATGCTGATCCAAGCCAGAGAGTCAAGACGGCACTAGTATATTAGGAAGAAGATTAGTAATGGCAGGTTATGTATTTTTCTTATGACTGTTGCCCTTTACATGGGAACAATCTGACACCAGCAGCCTATCTGCTGCAACTTTTACTGGTTCAGATTACAGCACATGAAGCTCATCATACATGTTACAATCTTTGTGCAATCTCCTTTTAGATTGATCAAAACTGCCATATAAGGGCCTTTCTAAACTTTCCTATTTATAACCAATTATCCAGTACCCACAATACTATTCTTTAGCCGGATACTCCTTAGGAGTCTATTTATAACCAATTCAGAGAGATATTGGCCTTTTATAGGTTTTCCTGAACACTCCTTCTCTGTGAATAGACACAATAACGAACGTTCGTAGCTATATTCTCTTTTCAGGTCGCATATATGTATTGTAATACTGAATTTTGGCCACTAGATGATGTTGGGAAGTGTAGGAAATAAATACCTTTTTATTATGCTTTCCGGCTCCATTTAGTGGCCGTAATCTAGTATTAGCATACATACGTTTGACCTGAAAAATACATACACTATATTGCCAAAAGTATTGGGACACCCCTCCAAATCATTGGATTCAGGTGTTCCGTGAAATGTCCTCGCTACTAAATATTCCGCGGTCACCTGTTAGTGGTATTATAACAAAGTGGAAGCAACTGGAGCAACAGCAAATCAGCCAGGAAGTAGTAGGCCACGTAAAATGACAGAGTAGGGTCATCGCATGCTGAAACGCAGAAGTCGCCAAATGTCTGCAGAGTCAATAGCTACAGACCTCCAAACTTTGTGTGGCCTTCAGATTGGCACAACAACAGTGCGTAGAGAGCTTCATGGAATGGGTTTCCATGGCCGAGCAGCTGCATCCAAGCCTTACATCACCAAGTGCAATGCAAAGCGTGGGATGCCGTGGTGTAAAGCGCGCCGCCACTGGACTCTAGAGAAGTGGAGACGTGTTCTCTGGAGGGACCAATCACGCTTCTCTGTCTGGCAATCCGATGGATGTGTCTGGGTTTGGTGGTTGCCAGGAGAACGGTACTTGCCTGACTGCATTGTGCCAAGTGTAAAGTTTGGTGGAGGGGGGATTATGGTGTGGGGTTGTTTTTCAGGGGTTGGGCTTGGCCCCTTAGTTCCAGTGAAGGGAACTCTTAAGGCATCAGCACACCAAGACATTTTGGACAATTTCATGCTCCCAACTTTGTGGGAACAGTTTGGGGACGGCCCCTTCCTGTTCCAACATGACTGCGCACCAGTGCACAAAGCAAGGTCCATAAAGACATGGATGAGTGAGTTTGGGGTGGAGGAACTTGACTGGCCTGCACAGAGTCCTGACCTCAACCCGATAGAACACCTTTGGGATGAATTAGAGCGGAGACTGCGAGCCCGGCCTTCTCATCCAACATCACAATGGTCCAACATTCCCATAGACACACTTCTAAACCTTGTGGACGCCTTCCCAGAAGAGTTGGAGCTGTTATAGCTGCAAAGGGCGGAGCCAACCCAATACTGAACCCTACGGACTAAGAATGGGATGCCAGTAAAGTTGATGTGCTTGTAAAGTCAGGCGTCCCAATATTTTTGGCAATATAGTGTACATCTAAGAACGTTTTCTGTGTCTATTCACAAAGAAGGAATGGTTAGAAATATTTTTTGGGTGAATGGCTCTGCAAATTGGTTATAAATAGACCCTTTAGTGTCTGTCCTACCCTCTTCTCTACTTAGCCATATTAGTGTATTTACCTCGGCTGGTTACATCACAGCAGCCTGTATCTGAGTGTCTGTCTGACCCATGTTCCTGGGTTATCAGTAAGCATGAAGAACACTCCAGAGTCCCACTGTGATTGGCCAGCATTTCAAACAACACGGTGAGATGGAAGGAATTATTACGGCACATACAACACGAAATTACTAATGGGATTACAACGCACAAGCTCAGCACTGTAATTTTGTGCATTTACCGCTGAGACAAAATGCTAAAGAAAAATAAGAGTCTAAAAAAGTCTTTTATGATATCAGAGGATTTTTTACTGCTAATTCCATATATATACATTATGTGTGTGTTATGTTTATCAGCTTCCCAAAGTTTCCTTTTAGAATTAAAGGATTTGCAGCTGGTAGTTTAGATGTGTAATTATTGTATATAATGCTGATAAATTGTTCAGCTGTTTACAGAGCCCACCGAGAGCTGACTCCACTTCCTGCCGCCAAAGGAATTTAGACTCTAATATGCCGTCCACAACTTCTTCTTTCCTTTCATTTTTCCTCTTTTCTCTTTATCTTTCTTCCGTTTCTCCCTCCCTTTTCCCTCGCTTAGTCTTTTCCTTTCTTACTTTTCCCTTCCTTCTTTTCTCTCTCTCCTCTTTCTTTTCTTCCCCCTCTCCTCTTTCTTTTCTTCCCCCTCTCCTCTTTCTTCCCTTCTCCCCCTTCTCTTTCTTCCCTTCTCACCCTTCTCTTTCTTCCCTTCTCCCCCTTCTCTTTCTTCCCTTCTCACCCTTCTCTTTCTTCCCTTCTCCCCCTTCTCTTTCTTCCCTTCTCCCTCTCCTCTTTCTTCCCTTCACCCTCTCCTCTTTCTTCCCCTTTCCCTCTCCTCCTTCTTCCCTTCTCCCTCTCCTCTTTCTTCCCTTCTCCCTTCCCTCTCCCTTCTCCCTCTCCTCATCCTTCCCTTCTCCCTCTCCTCTTTCTTCCCTTCTCCCTCTCCTCTTTCTTCCCTTCTCCCTCTCCTCTTTCTTCCCTTCTCCCTCTCCTCTTTCTTCCCTTCTCCCTCTCCTCTTTCTTCCCTTCTCCCTCTCCTCTTTCTTCCCTTCTCCCTCTCCTCTTTCTTCC